GATTTTGAGTATATACATGTACATAGAGAATAGTACATGTCCTTTTCCATATCACACCCAGTATCAACCCGAGACTCTAATGTCAGCCCAAGGCCGAAGGCCCGAGTGCTGATATTAGTTGAGGGTTGATACTTTGTGTGATATGGAAAGAGTTATGTTTTATCATGTTTATTACCTACTAACTAATGAAATACGGATAGATCTGCTATCTCATGATCTATTTTCTTTGAATGATTGGAAAATTAGAAGTGTTTCAAAAAGGGTGTAAAACGGGATTTGCGGTCTGATACTATGCTGAAATCTTATAACAATTCTCTGGTAATATCTTTTAGCAGTTTACAAATAGGAAAACTAATGTGTAGTAACCCGGAGCGATAAATGCTATAAGATTCTATGACAATATAAATATGCTAAACATGATATATTTACATTTTCATGGCATTGTCACTATATAGGCTATTTGAAAGCTGTGTCGTTGGTAGGACTTTAAATACCATGCACCACGAGACATAATTCTTAGCGTATTAATACAACACCGACCGGAACTACAATATCCAATATAAATAAACATGACGGCTGCTAGATATCGCTGGGCATTGTGAGACCCACCAATGTAATGGTAAATGTGCAAAAGACAAAAAGAGAATAAAAAAATACTTTTATTACAACAAAAACAAGACCAGATCTGCATTATCGTAAAAACAGCACATCGGTTGAAATCACCAATGCCGGCAATGGAAACAATTTTGACACTTATGCATTTTATCAGAAATATCGTCTGTTACACTGCACTGATCAAAAGGGGTTCGTTACAAATGTCTTAAATACATATATGCTATCGACCTCCTGACACATATGCTATAGACCTACTGATATGAGTCACACCACACATAAACATACACAAGGTATTTCAGACATTTGTAACGAACCCCTGTGCTCCGTCGCAAGATCACTCACTTCAAACGCTACCAGTATCACGCGCCTCGTAGCCACGGTTTCCTAAGTTTCTGACGACAAATAACGAGGCTGTTATAGAAACTACCGACTGTAGTCCGATTCCCATACAATCAACACAAATTCGAACTGTTCTCTCTGCTAATTTAACTTCCAAAAATAACTCCCTCGTGGAGGTCAAGGTCGGATTCATGGTGTTCACTGTATTTATCCATGCGCGAAATTTGTTCCGGGGAAAAATAGAAACAATTTAAAATCTTACTTTCAGCTTAGATTCCTATTGATAAACTTAAATCACCCCATAGACATATCATACGTATGAGTATTGATACTGAATTGTGGAATAAAGTGTTTGCTAAAAGTTCAAATACTACTTTGTTTGCCAATCAGCACGCGACAACACGCGTTTCAAACTATTGAACGAAATTGTGTGGACTGTCGATAAGGCGGACATTTTTTAATATTAAATATAAATGATAAGTTTAAAAAAGAACATAAGAGGCAGAGAAAACGTAAATACAAGTATTGAACTGTTTTTTGATAGCGCATTATGATTTGTTTGCTTGCAAAGCTGTGTCATTCAAACAGTTCAATGCTTAAATAACCATTGACACTGGAACTTGTTATAGTGATTGTAATGTGTCTAGCTTGTATACAATATTCCATATTACAAATAACACGTTATATAATATCTTCAATTAGATTCATCAGTTTGGAAATATGTGATATCAAAGTTTTACTTCAAACACAAACAATGTACGTATTAAACATGACGCAACGTTTCGAGACCGCCTAGTCCCTTTGTGAAGCAGATAGAGAGCTTGACAAAGGGATAAGTTGGTCTTGAAACGTTGCGACACGTTGAACAGGTACATTGTTTGTGTAAAAAGTAAAACTTTTGTGTCGCTTTGGTTTGTTAAGTGTGGTTTTCAGTTCTATAAATAATGAATGGCAGCAATAGATTTAGCTGCATTCGTTAGGTTTGGGTTAAAATTCAATTTTAAAGTTTGTTTTTCCCACTTACAAAATCGATACCGCTTTAAAAAAAGTAATGCAGTTTGCCTTAAGAACACGTATTCAATCAAGAAATTAGTTATTCTCTTTTTTCATATACAAACAGCACGAAGTTTTGTCAAAGCGAAGCAATTGATAATCGTTCCTCATTACTCCCTTTTCACGGAATAGTCTCCAAGCTGTCCTTAATGTCAGGTCAGAACATGACGTCATAATTCTAAGACACATCTGGTATTTACGTAAAAGTACATATTTGTGACAGCTATCTTTCGTTTCGGGACGAAAGTGTACCTTCTACAGGGGCAAAATTGAATTTTCATTTTACTTTTTTGAAAATTAAACTTTCGAATTTATAGAATAATACTAAGCAAACGTCACAGCGTTACCCAGTAGAATGTTGACGATAATTATGTTTACGGAAAAATACCGTGTAACTGACGTAAATTGAAATTAAAGTTAATACATATTTTTATGTATCTTCAAAATGTGTTTATCAGTTTCTCGATTATATTTCTGTATAAGTCATTTGGTAGAGTGGGATGAAATAATTTTGAGTGTTTCTGTGTAATACACATTCTTACTAATCATATCAAAAGATATTCTGCTTTTATTGAAGTATGGCTGTCTTACTAAGCCGGGGCTTCTCTTTGTGAGGTTCTAGTGTAAATGTATTATAAGTTTAAATGTATATTGATTAGTGATATTTTTCTGTGAGCCTGACTGTTATGTACCGCTTAACCATGGTAAGTTGCATTTTAAGTATACAGACTATTTTCTGTTAATTCCATTACAAAATACGTTATTTCTTTAGTCTTGAGTTGAAATACAAATGTATTTTACTATATATTATATTATAATTGTGGAAAATGTATCTGCACAAATGGATGTTTCCTCCACATCACATCTCCATATTCTATGTACATCCAAATTTCTTCCCTATTTTTCTATTTCTCCTCTACATCTCCATCTTTACCCTTCATCTCCATCTCCACCTTTCTCTATCTCCAACCGTCCTCTTATTCCCTTCAATATTTATCTGATATCCTCTCTAATAAGTTTTAGTATCTCTCCTCTAACAGTCTCTCCTGACATCGCCATTTGTTTCCTTATCCTCCCCCTCAAACTCTTCCTTACCTCTTCTGTCCAACTCCATTAACCCTCTATTTAACTTTCACTGACTTTATTCAATTATTTCTATAGTTCTCCTTTTCACCAATTCGCATTTCTATCATTCACTTCTCGTTTATCTGACGATCCCCATTCATCCATTTCTTTCATTTCGTCATTCCTTCTCTTTATCTCTCTCAAACAATTACGATGCACCCCCCTCGGCTCCCTGGACTCCTTCCGCCAATCTCTATGCGTCCCATCTATTTCGATTTATTTCGTTCCCTCATTATCTCCTTCCATTTCTCCTATTCCTGACAATCTACAAATATTCCCTTCATTGCTTGTCTTTCCTCTGTCCTTTTATTCTTCTCTCTTTCTTTGTACGCTTTATTTCATATTTCTTCTCATTCTTTCATTTAGGATACAATTTCTACATTTTCTTTTCTTCCACCCTCCTCTCTATTTCTGTCATTTATCGTCTCCACTCCTTTCACTATCTTTCTTTCATTCTTTCTCTACCTCTCTCCATACCTTTTCATCTCCTTTTCATTCATTTCTTGTCTGCTCCTCTCCTCCCCATAACAATCTCCGTGTATTTTATTCCGTATCGATCAAATTGTTTCGTAAACAGTTAAAACAATCAAGCATTAAAGGGGTTATTGCTTCGAGGCAGTGGACTGTAACAATGTGTTGTAAAGGATGCCATGTATAACATTGATTATCTACTTGCCGGTGTGCTTGCTGTTTGTTTAGCCTTCATGTTTTCCTGTCAAAGTTTTGTTTTTCAATTAGTTAAGTGTGTCAAATTGAGAACCAACTTTTATATTACATCAATTAATACATCGAAATTGAGAGTTAGATATAAGCATAACACTGACGACATATAAGATTTTAACTAAAACGTCAGGACTCCGTAACGAAACGACGCAATAAAGGACATTTATATAAAGTTGATCCTAATATTAGTGTCAGAAAATGATATCATTACTTACCGATATATCAGTGTTTTTATTCTAGCATACATTTTGTATGTTAGCGAATTCAGAATTATTACTAACTTAGATGTTAGAGGATTAATAATTATGAATATTTTCTGGTGGAGTGTTTTCCTGGTACAACTCTGTCATGCCTTCGTGATTGATCAGAAATATAAAAAGATGAACACATTTACAGAGACTTTTATTGCTGAAACATCGCTATATGCATTGAATACAACGTCGATGCTGCAGTGTTCCGGGGTCTGTGTAATAGATCGAAAGTGTTATTCTTTTTCATATGACAGAATGGAGTGGACATGCACGGCATACAATGACGTCCCAACTCAAACGAACACCACTGTGGACCACAATATTGTTTACTACAGCCAAGTAGAAGGTTTGTCGTTACTTTTTATATTCACGTTCAACCATTGTCAAAATACGCAGTGTTTCACCTGGATCCAAATGTCTCACTAGAGAACTGGAGCCGTTGACAGAAGCTATCGCCTATTGTACGTCAAGTCTTGAGACGGTTTCGTTATGGATTCCTATCCAACTGCAGTCAAACTGCAAAAAAAAGTACAGTGATTAATAGTATAAACATGAGCACCACCTTGATGTTGTTTTGAATATACCTGTAACTGAAGCGCTAGTGGGCCAGGGTAACACTGTTTACCAGGTACCCTAGTTGGTTAGAGCGACAGTTTAACAATCTGGGGTCAAGGGTTTATTTTTGACAATTTGGTATAATATTGTTGTTTTTCTGGTTGTCTATATCTACCGCAATTCCGATTTTATCTTTATTTTTTGACGCTGAGGTAGGATTTCGTCAAACCCAAATGTCAGTTAAAAGCGTTGAAACGTTTTTTAAAACGGCATCAATTATAAAGCAGTGATATCAATAAACTAGCTCGATTTCAGTTGGTGAAATGTTTTTCTTTGCAGTATTGATCAACAGCACGCCTATATTTGGAGCCGTTACAGTCATCGCTGACGTAGGAAACGCCGACAGCAGTGAAGATGATTAGGTCTTTGATTGAGATACTGTTGATGATCGAACCAAAAACTGATTTTGTTGAGATGTTGATTATAAGATTCGAATCCCCTTGGGTTAATAGCGGGCACTCTCGAACGATCGCAAAGGAATCGGCCGAGCAGTGCGAGCCTTTATAGCAACACATGTACGGAAAGTACGGAAAAATGAGAGTGAATTGGTTCTATGCTATATGAAGGCTTCATAAACTTTCGTCATTCCGGTCGTACAGGCTCGCAAAAAACAGCAGCACCTTGTATTTTTGTCGTATTTCAGGCAGATTTTTATGTTCAGAAACAAGTCTACATTTTTTTTAAAGTCGATGTTACTATTGAAATCCTTCGATGTCCTACATATTATTTTGATATTTTCATTTTTCACGAACTGAAAATTGTTTCAATGTAGTACTTGCGCTTGGTTATTTGTCCTTAGATAAATCCGTATACCATTCCACGTATTTTGCTTTTTGTGAAAGGATGAATTGACGCCCACAGCATGTTGTGACGTGACTGTGACGTCACTGTTAACACGCATCATCGTAGTGTTGACAATACTTACTGAAGTCAACCCGAATTTTCTGCAGTTATATCACATTATTAAGATTATTTTGATTTTGTTTATTCTTAACCCTACAGTTCAGTACACATTTTTGCAGGTTTACATAAAGGATATTTTTGATGTGACGTTAGTGTACGTATTTCATGCATTTATGCTACTTTTAAAAAGTTCTTTTGAAGTAGTTTTATCATAATTATTATCAAATAAAAAGTTTTTTTTTCCGAATATTCAAATAACGATTTATTTTTTCCATTTTGCATTTTCATCTCAGGTACTGTCATATTTCTCAGTATAAACAATTGCGTTTATATGATTTTGTTACAATGTATGTGATTACTATTAGCATCAAAATAATACTGAATGAAAAACAGTGGAAATGCAGCATGTAATAAACAGTAAATTATACTTACGGATAGTATAAATACATGTAGTTTCAAGAAGATCACCACATTTAAAGCAGTAGGTTATTTATTTTCGTAAAATGTATTCACTATTGGCTATTACTGATGCCAGTACATTACGGTAACATCTGAAGAAAGCGAACAGGAATGATAAATGCTAAAATTTATTTTTGACTCCATACAATGTCTGATTTGAAACCTTGACATTGCTATTAACAAGTGATGCTAGATTATTTAAAATTCTGAGATGTCCATCAAGCATGATCACAAATTATTGAAAGCCATTAATTTTGTTGTCCAGTTCATATTGGAAAAGAAACAGAAAAGCTATATGGGTTTTACAAACCTCCGCAGACTGTCTTCATTGAAATTGTTACGATTGTCCAGCATGAATCGTTATTAACAGACTGATCTTAATCAAAAGGAAATGTCCATTGAAAAATGGAATGGAGTAATTACAGATACAAAACAATATCTATGAACTTTATTTGTTTAGAGTTGTGTATCTGAATGAATTTTTTTTTAGATAAAGTTGTTTTAATAAAACGAATATTTAATTTGTAAGTGTTACTAAGGTGTTTTGATAAACAACGAGCTAGGGCTGATCCAGTGAGGGAGGGTTCAATAAGGAGTTAGGGGACAAGGACCCGGGGCATGTTTGGCCCTGGGATAACTCCGGCCAATCGAGATATTTTAGGTCTTGAGCAAATATTTATATTTTTCGGGGTCTCAACAGTATACATAAACGCTTAGTATTGTCTTTCGTTTTGCTTTGATACACGAGTTTTTCCAATATATAATAATTTTGGTCAGACTCGTCCATTAACACCGAGGCAGGTACGGCCCATAGGATACATGGAAAGCCGTGAAAAATGACGAAGCATGCATTATGACGTCATAATTACGCTGATTCCAACGTGGACCGAACTCGCACAGGGCTGGGTACATTCGGTCATCCAATCAGCCGACATCTTTTAAAGTTGGGGTTATAATATTTTTTCTGAAAACTTGTATTCAGCATTTGCAATTATACAGACATATAAAGAAGTTACCAAATTAATAGAAACATGTCTTTATAGAAAATGCTATAAACAAGAAATGTACGTTAACAAAACGCCGACATAACCGTGTTCCGGGGTTCGATTGATGCATGAAAAGTGCTCTTTGTAATTTGACAACGTAAAGGGCACGTCATACAGGGACTTTCTTCCTCAAAGAACACTACGGTTGAACCAAATACTGTTACCTCAGAAAGGAAATAAGTTTTAATGAATAGTATATGTATTGAACAAAATGAAGTCAAATCGCATAGTTCAAAGATCGCAGTGTTGCACATTGATCAAAGTTAAGGTGTTTCATCTTCATAAAAATTCGTGCATGTCTTTTCCGTGCAATATTCATTGAATACTTATTCATTAGCATAAGATTCCTGTGATAATTGACGAACCTCGGGAAACATAGACACTGAATAGTAAAACAAACAAAAAATTACAGTTATAGAGAGGGAACAATGGTAATTGTTTTTATATTGTTACTGAACGAGTCCGATGGCCAAAGCCTCAGATCATTCGAACATATTTACATTTCCACTCAAAGTTCCTGTGTAAGCATTTCATTATGGGTTATACACGCAATGGGATCAGCGTCATTTTGAAGCTTCTCCTTCCGCCTCGAATAAAATGAGACAACCGTTAGAAGCAAACATTTTGATGACGTAAGGCAGTCACATGGATCTTGTTTGCATCGACGACCTAAACACTTTATTTATCGATTTATATAAGGCGACCTCTGTTTTAAGGTTAATGATACTTCAAATTTCGAAGCATAGTATAAGAATGTTTGTTAATACTGGTGTCTCCGAAGAAAGTTGTCGCCACACCATAATCTTCTAACTAACACCTGTCATATCCCTAGGGGGTTAGAAAAGAAAGTATACCATCGTGAATGACAGACAAAATTCTTGAAGGGATGGAACTGGAGACAATTAATTGGCTGTTAGATAAGAAATATCGAAACCCTGTATGCAAACTTAACTATCATCATTGTCAAAGAATATCACAACGATAACTAATAATTGTAATAGTATTAATATCCTAATTACAATTCCTTTGAGATACTCTAACACAAGGCTCTCAGTTACTCAGTTGTTGTCAGCAGGTATATTAATTGACCTCCATGAATACATCTATTATTTGCAACGGCATTCATTTTCCTGCTACTTTGTCCTTCAACACGTGGCGATGTAGCAAACGTGATTTAAGCAATTTGTCAATGGCATAGAGCGCTAAAAACGAAAGAAACTACTAAGATTTCCGATTCAATATTGATAAATTGACACCATTAAGAGTATTATTCCTTCAGCCAAGCGGAAAGGCTAATGAAGTACGCCGTTCTTCGTAAATGGTCTACCTACTTCTATCATCATACCTGTTCAGGTTTGAGATAAATGGGGTTGTTGTTACCTCTGTAATGGATTTATTATATTTGGCGTAAGCCTCTTGCAACTGCTAAGAAAAAAAAGAGAGAAGACAAAAACTACTGTACCCCACTTAATATCGCTGCAAAAGGACACTCATGATGGCTTTCTCAGAATCGAAAAAAGCATTCTTCATATTTTTCTGGTAAGGAAACTTTGCAGAAACAAAAAACCTGATTTGTTGCCCCCGTTGGAACACTTTGGACCTCTATTTGATCTTTAATATTCTAATAATTTTTTTTTCCGACGGAGTCTCCAAAGGAACATCTGGTCAGCTTGCTGTCGGATAAAGCGATATGTCGTGCCACTGTGCCAAGCGTATGTTATTCCAGAGATATAGCACGTTAAGTCGCCCTGCCATCTGTCTTCATGTTTCGGAAAAGTCGACACATTTTGTTTCAATGACCATGAGTATGAGTTGGACAAAGATCAGTCAATGAACTATTGTTCGGCATTTACTGTGTCATTTTTATCTAAGATTCACGAGTAAAGTGTTAACAAGCTTCTTAAAGCCGTATCATGCAAACAGTATTAATAAGGTAAGTCGTAATTAGCCTCACACCCTGTACTTTTATCATGTATGTAAGCGTAATATCATCTCCGTAGTCTTTGACAACACGTTATGTGCTCGGATATGCTTTTGGCGTCATTGGATGTGTCGATTGAAACATCCCTGTTACTCTCAATCAGTAACTGATCACACACATATATGTGCCTAGTCCTATTGATGCCAATAATAAAGTTCCACGGGGGTCGATAATAGGTCCACTTCATTTTTTCCTATATTCAATAAAGAAAATAAAAAATACTAACAACATGTTCATCTACTGTCAGAAACTATGGGAAACAAGACAGTTGCCTTATACGTTCACTTATTCTAAATATCTTAAAAATGATGAACAATTATCTTGGGACATAGAAGCATGATGTCATACCCGAATCATCAACAAATACAAAACCAATTCTGCTATCCTTAATCTGCGGTTAGATGCTATGTTCCGGTAATGTAGCTCATTCACCTTGTAGAAACTATATCTTTGTCAGCTTGACAAATATAACAATGACAATATAACATATTGATAACCACAACCGACACAGATACGTTCTTGTCACATTGATTGAGACATCCCTGCAGACGATAATACAAAATGTATTAAAACTCTCGAGAGTTTTGGTTCTTACGTCTCGGCTACTAAAATGTCTGTGTGATTGGTATCTATAAAATTAAAAATAAAAATGATTAGTTTGGAGATAAAAATGTTACTTCCTGGATAAAGTCTGTTTCTGCAGGCAAACAATCCGTGTTTACAATCAATAAAAGCAATTGGAAGATCAACACAGTGAAACTGTATACACGTTTGATTTTACAAAGAACATCACGCCGCAGTATAGAAAATATATGCAGTGTTAGACTAGGCATTGGTGACATTCTATTGTCACTTCTAAGTACACTTCTAAGGATTAAACGACAATTTTCTAATTGTGTTAAAGTGATTTCGAAGCCACCAGGTAAATATAGTATGCAGTAGTTTGCCCAAACGTTAGTGCCAGAGTAAGGCA